AGAGAGAGAGAGAGAGAGAGAGAGAGAGAGAGAGAGAGAGAGAGAGAGAGAGAAGGAAGAAGCAGAAAGGAAAGAGAGGGACACACAGAGGGCCCACCCGCTTTTTAGGCTGGGATGCCATTGAAGGCTGATGATGTAATTAAGGACAGAATCCTTACAGTGATCTCTATAAAATGACCTGAATAAAAATGAATTCTTTTTTTTTGTTGTTGTTGTTGCACAAATCCTAAATGGTCTTATAATAAAAACCTGGAGCTAGATAGCAGGGTGAAAGCTGAACGATCAGAGAAGCAGAGCAAGCTACAGCCACCACCCCTTCTTACCAACTCCTTCTTCATCCTGATAGAGCCCAGCTTCCTTCCTCCTCTCACCTTATATTCCTTTCTCTGCCCAGCCATAGCACTTTCTGTTTCAATCTTTCTAGTGCTGGGATTAAAGGTGTGTGATCCCAAGTGCTAGAATTAAAGGTATGTGCTACCACTATCTGGCTCTGTTTCTCTTTTAGACTGGATTAATCTCATGTAGCCCAGTGTGGCCTTGAACTCACAGAAATTCAGACAGATCTCTGCTTCTGCCTCTTAAGTGCTAGGATTAAAGGTGTTTGACACCACTGCCTGACCTCTATGCCTAACTCTGTGGCTAGCCTACCTCTGTCCTCTGCTCTTCAGGCAAGCTTTAATAGAGTACAACAAAATACCACCGTGTGTGTGTGTGTGTGTGTGTGTGTGTGTGTGTGTGTGTGTTGTGTGTGTAAGTCATTATTTATCAAATGATCTTTATGCCATCTTTCTCCAAATCCTTCAGAAATTTGTCATGGCTGAGATTTGTTTCTGAGCCTTCAATTTGGGAGTGTCCTGCTTATTTTGCTAATGATAAAAGCTAAATACAGCTTTAAAAATAGATTTGAACGTTGGATAGTTGGGCTAGAGGGCGAATTTAATGTATAATCTTATGATCGATATGTGAACTGCAAAGGAGGGTGTAGAGGTACATTCTCAGTCCATACTGTTGGATACAGTTCTAATCTTTCACATGAGTTCATTCTAGACTTGACCTTCTTTTGACTGTTTTCATAACTAGAGTCTGAGCTGGAACTGCCTTCCCATGTTAACTGCTGGTGACTAGTTTTTGACTATCCAGAAAAAATTTTTCTTTTTAGAGAAAACAAATTGAAGTTTAGCATTGTAGCTAATAATTGAGGGTTGTGCTTCTCAGATAATCATCTTTGCTAGTGTTATTTAACTATATTATGTATTATTTTCTTTTGTCCCCCGCCCCCATAGTTTTTGATAGTTAGGAAACATCTTTTAAATTTATTCTTACAAAGATAAGTGAGTGAAGAGGATGACCCTGATCTTTTTGCCTCTTCCTACCAATTGCTGGGATTGTACGCTGTTTGAGGGATCAGACCCAGGGCTTTGTATGTGTGAGGCAAGTATTCTACTGAAGGAGCTTTTGACATAGTTAAGTCCAGTTGTTTCTTTATCTGTGTTGGGGGGGAACCTTGGAATGCATGGAAACATACCATATAGATGGAATTCATTATTAAAATTGTAACCTATAGTGTCAAAATATGAGTTAGCAGTCTCTGTACATTTAATCTTGCTTCATTTTTGGACGGTGCTATTTTTATGTGACCAAATGGATATTACTTTCATTACCTTGCTGATTTAGTTTTTGCTCTGTCTCATCTGTTGCCAGGAAACCATTTTTATAAAAGAGCAAACTCAACTTGTTAAATAATTTCCATGTTTTTAACTGAGATGACACCTATATTAGTCAAGTTACTTTTTAAAACCTGAGGCTAAACCAGGAATGGTGGTGTGCTCATTTGAGTCCGGCACTTGGGAGTCAGAGGAGGCAGCTCTCCATGATGGTGAGCCCAGCCTGTCAGCATGGAGTTCCAGGCCAGGCAGCACAACATAGTGAGACCCTATCTCACTGAACAGTGTCAACAAAAAACTCCAGTGCTCTCCTAACAATAAAAAATGATGCTATTATATTTCGTGAGATAGATTCATTAGTTTTTTGTAAGTAAGCAAAAAGTGGGCTTAAGAAATAAAGAAAGATCACATGATCTATTTTCATCTGTGATATTGAGGATAATTGTTAGAATCTGTATCTAAATTATGTGCTGATTATTAATCTTTGGAGTAAAATGCAGATTAGATACTAAATCAAAGGAACCTTGAAAGCAGGTATGAGCAGATGCATAACCTTGTTCTTGAGTAGTTGACACCCCCTGTGTCTTCCTCGATATCTTTCATAGTTACTCATACCAAGTGCATCTGAACTCTGCCCATTCCTCAGTTTGAATTACAAAGTTGTTACCTGGCAGGATAGTTATCTTATGAATGTGCTTTACAACGCTGTGTTTCTACACCATGCTCTGGCATTTAGAGTTGAGTCATTCTCTCCCAGACAGCCTGGCTGGGCATTGCTTTCAGTTGCTTCTTGTCAGGGCATGGAAATGGGCCTGAGTTGGGGTGCTGGTTTACTAGGAAGCTGAAGAATGAAAGGCTAGGATAGTGACAGTTTTGTTAGAAAAACACTAAAGCAGATAAACTACCACTGAGCAGCTGTTGTGGAGGTGTAAGAACTGAGTAATCTAGTGGTGACCTAGAGTGCATCTGAGTCACTGTGTTCTAGTCTAGTCTGTGCATGAAATACATTCAATACTCAGTTCAGTCCACTCAATAAGACCGTGTGTAACTGAACACTGGAAGAAGCACATACAGATTCTTTTTAGAACATGGCTAAGTTTAGAATCCTTTAGGAAATGGTTGCTAAATGTCTCTGTGTATTTTATCACCCTGTGTCAGTAACTTCAACTTGTAATGGTAGCAGTGCTTTCTGGAAACCATTTAAGTCTTAGAGTCGAAGTAATGTGAGTGCCTGCACTTAGCTGGAATCCTTGCTTGTTCTAATTCTGCTGACAGTGTAATACAGTCTAGCAGAAGTCTTAGATGTCAGAAAGAAAACCAGGGAGATAAAGTGGAGTAGTGGTGAGTCAACAAACCGCTGTGTCTGTCAGGTATGACTGTCGCCCACTGCCTGTGTCTCTTGGAACAGGAAATGTGGGCTTTTTTGTTTGTTTGTTTTTAATTGTTCGTATACATGCTTTTACTTTCAGGCTTGACAATTTGTGGACATAATTGCCTCCTCACGGCAGAATGGATGTCTGCAAGTAAAATTGTGTGTCGAGTGGGGCAAGCCAAAAATGACAAAGGAGACATTATTGTCACGACCAAGTCAGGGGGCAAAGGAACCTCAACAGTATCTTTTAAGCTACTCAAACCTGAAAAAATAGGTAAGACTCATAGTGACTTTATCCTAAAGAAAGAATATTGGCTGTCAGGTGTTAAAACTGGTAGAATTTGTAAAACACACAACTGTCTTGTCTCATTAGATGTAGTCTGTTCATTTTGATGATGCCAGGATGCGTCTCAGAGTTTGCATTACCTTTTTGGTTCATGACTTTTTTTTCTTTCTCATGATAGAGCCTTGTGGACTGGCTCTGAACTCACTGTGCACCATTCTTTGAAAGGCAGTTTACTAAGTTGCCTGTCAGTATAAAGATGACAGTTGTAAAGAAATGTCTTACAACTGATAAAATCTGTCCCCTTGGCAGTTTGGAATACTAGTTTTGGCTTCTTAATCTTGAGCATATGACATTGTTTTAACACCGTTATACGGTTAAGATTCAGAGTGCTATAGCTTCTACTCTGGCCAAATCGGTGGCAGTCTTATCTATAACATATTCCCCCTTTCTTTATGTTTTGTGTCCTTCCAAGGCCAGATGAAATGTAGCCTTCTAGCTTTCCGTGCTCTTCTTTGTCCCCTTGAAGTTATGTATGCTTCCTCTTTTCTTGTGTACTTACCTCCTGCTACCTTGCAGGGCTTAAGATTTGGGTTTGATTGACCTTGATGTCCTCCCTATGCTAATTCCCTGCTGGGTTTCCACCCTCCTGAATGCTTAAGGGAAGTTCCTTGTCTGTGTATCCTGCATATTGGACATTAACAGCTTAGATGCAAGATTGTAAAACATTGGTAGCAAACTTCTGCCCTCCGGGGTTCTCCCATTGTGCTGTAAGCCTGTATTTAAGACCTCCTCCCTCCTTCAATAAACGACATTCAGCATTTAAAAAAAAAAAAAAAAAAAAAGACCTGAGAGGTGGGATGGAGAGATGGCTCAGAGGTTAAGAACACTGGCTGTTCTTCCAGAGGTCCTGAGTTCAAATCCCAGCATCCACATGGTGGCTCACAACCATCTGTAATGAGATCTGTCTCCCTTTTCTGGCCTGCAGGGATACATGGAAACAGAACACTGTATACATAATAAGTAAATAAATCTTTAAAAAAAAAAAAACACCCCAAGAGAGAGCCACATAGGCCAAGCTCTTCTCTCCCCTTTTGGGCTTGGATGGTGCAAACTGGCTCACGTGGCAAGAACCGGACCTCAGCCTTCCAGAACCCTGTGGTGATTCACCTATTCTGTTTAGTGAATTATCTTTTCTGATTTATATCCTAATAAATTCCTTATAACTCTTAAAAAAAATTGGCACAAAGAGAGTGTCATTAACAAAAAAAAAGATTTGGGTTTGAGGAACCAAACTTCAGATTCTAAACCTAGGCTCTTACCACCAATGGCTGTTTAGCGCCAGTGTCTGTTTTCTGTGAATAAATGCAGAATGGTAACATCTACCTCATGGGATTAGATAAGTTAGAGCATAAATGTAAAGTGTGTAGCACTTTAAAGAACAAATTAGTAATTTTAAAATTATTCCCATGGATACGTTATCTCAATAAAATATTGTTAGATTCCTCCTTGTGATCCTGTAAGGTCTTGCATAAATAAATAGAAAATTTTGTGTACTATAAGAACAGCAGTCCTAATTAAATTCAGGCAGTGATCTCAGTATAGTGAAAAATAAGGTTTTCTTATCTATCTCAGCTCATAGAGCTTTCCTACAGTGTTGTCCTCCACAAATCCTTATATAGACCTTTGAAGTAAAAATGTAAGGAATAGAGGAAAGCTAAAATTTGAATTAGTATATGATTTATATATGTATATATAGAAATATAACACCATTTAAATATATATTTTTCACATCTTCAGAAAGTGAACTCTGAAATCAAAGCATGGACCTGTTTTATAGCTTTCTGGAGGAAGTGTATACCTTTTTATAAAAGTCATATTTTATAATATTTGTTTATATAGCACATGAAGAAATTTTGGTGAAAGTACAATTGTCTTCTGAACACTCAGCCCAGGGTATTTAGAATGGCTCACAGAAGATGCAATGCAGATTGAATGACAGAGCCCCAGTGTGTTGGACTTCTGTACAGAGCCCTTGTTAATGTCTACTATGGCTGCCGGAGTGCTCTGTTTGTACAGTCCTGTTGCCTGGTGTTCAGACACCCTTCTTCTGGGAAGCCTCAGCCTCTGCTACTCCTGGTGCGGCCACAGGGCATACTTGCTCCTGCTCTGTTGCAGCCCAGAGTCCCTAGAGTGGTAATGGGCATGTGCTGTACTGGCTAAGGCAGTACAGAGCTTGGTCCTTAGAGTTTGTGTCTTGTTTGCAGGTCTGTACCCAGTCAGCTTGTCCTGAATAATCTAGCTATTTCCATTATGGAAGCCATGCATTCTTTAACCATTTTAATTGTTCATTTGATATTTTGTTGAACTTATCAAATCAGCCTAAACCATGGAAAAATGCTTTTTTTTTTTTTTTTTTTTTTTTTTTTAAGTATCATGTAGGACTTTTCTAGCCTTCTGAATAATGAAGAGAATGAGAAATCACAAAGACTTTTTTTGGCATAATTATTCATGTAAATGATGTTAAAAACATGTGCATTTCACCTGTAGTAAAATGACTTTAGATTGTGGAAGTCAGGAAAAGAACCTCAGTATTAAATACAAGTCATACATGTGACTGCTTCTCCTTAGTCATGTTCAAGAAGCTTTCTATGGAGTTAATGCTTAGCTTGAATGTTTGAGTCTTGAGATTTCTCAGCCATTTTTTCCCCAAAAGTTGACAGAGTTCGGAGTATTTTCTTGAATAAAGTGTTATAAATCATATCATTGTATCTTATGTTTTACTTTTCAAATGTTATTATCAACTTAATCATGAATACTTAACAGTGTACAAATAATTTTATGTGTTATTGGGAAAACATCTTTTTTTTTTTTTTCCAGAATGCTTTGTGAGTGGCTTAAAATCATCTTTGTTGAATAATGTATAGTGACAACCAAGAGATGTTACTTTTGCCATTCTGTAGCTTCTCAGTATTTTTTACAAAGCCGCTGAGCATGAAAAGAATTTGAGCTATAGTGCCCTTGAATCTCTTAAAAAAATAATAAAGCAGTGTGGTAAGATGTAAAGGTGCCTGGATGGTCCTTATCTTATTGAGTGCATATTCCTAACTTTCACAGGCATTTTAGATCAGTCTGCAGTGTGGGTGGATGAAATGAATTATTATGATATGAGGACTGACAGGAATAAAGGGATTCCTCCCTTGTCTCTCCGTCCTGCGAATCCACTTGGCATTGAAATTGAAAAGTGAGTACCGTCTGGCTCTTTAATTTCCAGCTTCTAAGTGTTTTATGTTCTTGCAGTGGAGGGAGTCACATTCAGGGATGTCCTGGAGAGCACAGGTGAAGGCAACTCAGCCAAATGATTGTCTGCTGTTAGTATTTATTTTGATTATTAACTATTATTTTTGTGGTAATATTTTTTAAGCTTGATGAGTTTTGCCTCAATGTTTTCACTAGATGAAATTTTTGACAAAATTACTTTGGTTTTTTGCAGGGAGTTTACATTTTGTGATTAAAAAATGTTTTGAAATTTTAATAGCTACTAGCTTTTGGTTTGGAGTTTTGGTTGTAGGGCCCTTACATGCTAGGCAACTGTTGTACTATGGAGCTTCCTTGGTTTGTAACACACTCTTTTTTTTTTTTTTTTTTTTTTTTGGTTTTTCGAGACAGGGTTTCTCTGTATAGCTTTGCGCCTTTCCTGGAACTCACTTGGTAGCCCAGGCTGGCCTCGAACTCACAGAGATCCGCCTGGCTCTGCCTCCCGAGTGCTGGGATTAAAGGCGTGCGCCACCACCGCCTGGCTGTAACACACTCTTAATTAATGATATGAGCATTAGTACATTTTAATATGTTTAGATGATATTTAAAATCAATAGCATTATAATCTATTCATTTGCTTTACTTTCTTAGAAATATTTTAAAATAATTTGGTCCAAAGTGATCTTTTGTGTTTAATGAGTCCTGCCTAAATTCTTATATAACCCAGATTATTTAATTTTATTTGTCAGAATTGTGCCAGTTGAGTGATACCTTGTTTTACAAGTGAATTTAAAGTTTGGTTTTCATGATCCCAAGTATGGCCACTGCCTTAGTTAATGTTTCTATAGCTGTGAAGAGATGCCATGGCCACAGCAACTCTTATAAAGGAAAACATTTAATTGGGGTGGCTTGTTTACAGTTTCAGAGGTTCAGTCCATTATCATTATGGTGGGGAACATGGCAGCATGCAGGCAGATGTGGTGCTGGAGGAGTAGCTAAAAGTCCTACATCTTGCGGGCAATAGGAAATCTACTGACAGTCACACTGAGCAAAACTTAAGCAAAAGAGACCTCAAAGCCTACCCCCACAGTGACACACTTCCTCCAACAAGGCCTATCTATCCCAACAAGGCCACTCTTCCTAATAGTGCCACTCCCTATGAACTTATGAGATCAACCACATTCAGAGTACCACAGCTACCTTTATCCATATATCTTAAGCAAGTCATCTAACATATTAATTTTATCTCATCTATTTTCTGGCCTTAGTGATTCTTTTTACAGAATTCCATGATGAGTGTTACCTTATGAATAGTTATGGAAGGTAGCAAGTTCTGTTAGTCCCTTAACCATATCTGTGTTTTTGGTTTTCTAAGAATGAGGAACATTTTTACTAATCTTTAAATACTGAACCTTCATGCCTACACTTGAAGATCATTAATGCTTTTGAGGGAAAAGTGCATTTTCACTGCTGTAGTATGCTCAAGGGGATGCGGGGGTGGGGTGTGGGGTGTGGGGTATGTTTTGGGCCAGAATTGTTTATTGAAAAGCCCTGATATTTAGCAGCTTTTAGTGAGCTTGGGATGTCTAGGTAGCATATTTAAACCATGGGACATTCTAGAACTATTTCAAGGGTTTCAGTATCCTGTAAATTAAGATTGAGACAGTTTCAACTAGCAGGGTAAGGGGCTGCCAAGCATGGATAAATAAGCTTGCCATTGACAGAAAACCCATGAGTACTGTGGGATGTGTTTCTCTATACTGTGAATATGTGTTGCTATGACTGGTTAATAAAGAAGCTGCTCTGGCCTATGGTGAGTCATGTTATAGCCAGGCAGGAAATTCAGGAGAGAGACAGGAAGAGGAAGGGCAGAGTCAGGAGTCACCAGCCAGACACAGAGGAAGCAAGATATCAAGGCAGAACTGAGAAAAGGCACCAAGCCACATGGCTCAACATAGATAAGAATTATGGGTTAATTTAAGTGTAAGAGCTAGTCAGTAATAAGCCTGAGCTAATGGCTGAGCAGTTATAATTAATATAAGCTTCTGAGTGATTATTTTATTAGCGGGCCATGGGATTGTGGGAGCCTGGTGGGACTGGAGAAAACTTCCAGCTACACATGAGGGGCTGGGAGAAAGTTAGCCCTTCATGAGCCTGCTGTGAGGGAGGAATCATTCTGACTGATCGTCCTTTGCCCAGAGGACTGCTCACGGATGAAGGAGATTGAGGGGATGCATGTGCTGTGTAGGAGTCAGACAGACCAGCTGTATTAGTAAGAGCTTCTGTTGCTGTGATTAATACCATGACCAAAAGCAACTAAAGAGGGAAGGGTTTATTTCATCTTATAACTCTCAGGTCACAGTCCATCACTGGCAGAAGTCGGGACAGGAACCTCGAAGCAGGAACTGATGTAAAGGCCATAGAGGAACGCTGCATACTGGCCTGCTCCGTAGTTTGCTCAGCCTATTTTCTTACAGCACCCAGGACCTCCAGCTGTTGTGTGACAGAATTTTTCCTGGGAAGATACAACACCCATGTCTACTCACCCCAGATAGGAATTTCATGACAGACCAAAGTATGGATACCACCAAAGTCCACTTGGTGAACTAATGAGTTTTATTGGGGTTACTTACAGGAGCAGAAATGACTCAAAGACAGATGTATTACTAAAGCCCACTTCAGTCTGGGTGACAGCTCACACAACTGGGAACCTGGAGCACACTGCACAGCCTGCAGCTAGCTCAATAGGTTGGAGAGTGTCCTTTCTAGGTGCCTCAGTTGGTCTAAACCTCTTGCAGGATGGTTTCTGCTCCTTCCAGGCAGCTGCTCTGGTCTCAGAGTCTCCTTTGCAGCTTTTCTCCTCTGAGAGTCTTTGCAGCTCAGCATCTCTTTGTCTGAGAGGGACTCTCAGCTTTTACTGCTTACTCTGGCTCATAGGTGCCTAGTGAATCTGGTCAGTTTCAGGGATTTCCTGAAGCTATTTTTCATTGTTTACTTTCCTGCTTAAGGAGTTTTCCTGAGGGTAGAATGTTTTAATATTGGAGGAAACTGTTATACAACGCTAGCCCAGGGTGGTACCACCCACAACAGGCTGGGCCCTCCCACATCAGTCACTAAGTAAGAAAATGCACTCTAAGCGTGCCTACAGGCCCGTCGTCTGGAGAATTCTCTCATTTGAGAGCCCCTCTGTTCTCTAGCTCGTCGTGTCAAGTTGACATAAAATCGACCAACACAACAGCCATGCTAGGGTTTGGCTGATGCTCGTTGTCCTAGTTGCTGCCCTGGTTTTCATTTTGGCGGGTGTCTTTTCTCTAGTTGTGCTTGCTGTCTCGTCCTCCTCTTACCTTTTGACATTGCTGCTGCCAGCCGCAGAGCCGCTGGGTGTGAACCATGTCTAGTGGCATTTGTAAAGTCATGAAGGCAGGCAAAAAAACGGCATGAGGAACGGCTCAGCTCGCTCCAGCATTTCTTTACCTTTCTCTAAAGAGGTCGTGTTGGGCGACTTGGAACCAAACCTCCTGGCTTTTAATTGGGCATCCAGGGCTTACTACTGATCGCTTAAGCCCAGGCCTTCCCTCAGGCCGGTGTGAGGGCTGTGCATGAGGACAGGTAGGCACTGCAGCCGTAGTGGGTTGTGTGCTTATTATTGCCATGATACTTCGCTTCTCCCTGACTCAGGACAAACATCTTTTAAATAAATATTGTAGTTTTGTTCTATTGCTATGATAAAATACCCTGACTAAAAGCAGCTTAGGGGAGAAAGAGTTTATTTATTTGACTTAAAATTCCAGGTTATAATGTATTATTGTGGGGAAGTCAAGGCAGGAACTGAAAACATCATGAAGGGTTTTAGTAGGCTCAAGCGTGGCAAACATGGCTCTGGCAGTCCTTTCCCCACCCCCCATTCCCTCTTCCTTATTAAACTGTTAGATTACATTCCTAAAGCTAGCCACCAAGGTCTGTTCCCTTATTTGGACACTTTCTTATTCCAGACTCATTCCTGACGCTGACCACCAAGGTCCAGGTTTCAAAGTCTTGACTCCAGCAATCAAGAGCCCCCTTTGGCTACCCTAATTAACATGCCCAATCAAAACAATTCAACCCATCCTAACATGGGAACCCCTTTTTCTCTTTATAAACTGCCATTTGCCTATAGGACGTGCCTGCTCTACTTTATCCAGAGGCCGTCTTTTTTCCCTCCAGGGCAGATATCCCTTTACCCTGCTTTCCCTTGACCCTTTTCTTCTTTCCTTTGTCTCCCATCCCCTGTCTTTGCCCCTGCAGGGCAAATAAATCTCTTTTGTGCTGAGAACTTGGTTTTGGTGTATCCTGCGCCAACTCTGGTCCTTTTGCATTATATCCACAGTCATGTACAAAGTAAGAGTGCTTGTTGCTCTGTACTCAGCTAGTTCACTCTTAAGCAGTCCAGGGCCCAGCTCATGACATGGCACTGCCCACATTCAAGGTAGTTCTTCCCACCTCCATTAACAATCAAGACAATCCCCCATAGACATGCCTTCCAAGGTGATTCTAGGATGTGGCAAGTTGACATTTAAAACTATCACAATTAAGTTTATACAGTAATAAATTGTTAAAATTAAAAATAGATACTATTTATTCAAATAGGTTTCCTCCCCTTCCCCTCCTTCCCTATTGCTCCCTCCTTCCCACCTAAGAAAACTCCATGGATTTTACTGAATTCTGTTCCTTGAGGATTTGTTTCTCCTTTTGGTGTGCTGGAGGTAGAAATAGGCATGAGCTCTATACTGAGTCCTACCCTGGCCCAGGTAGAAAAAGAGTGAGGGGAAGGAGAGGCAGAATGTCAAACACTAGTCTGAGGCTGTTTTCCTAGCCCACTTAATAGTGTTTAGTAAAACCCTTTGTCCCTGTAGAGAGTGATGTGGCATTCGGGTTAGAATCCTTACTGCCTTTGCTTTTACTATGTTGTGTATGTTTCTTAAGTCATTTAAGAATTTTAAACCATTAAGTGAGGAACATGGGGATTGTACTGTTATTTGCTAGTGGAAAAGTAGTAATTAACACAGTCTGAAGAAGTATAAATGCACAGTATAAAATAATCAGCTGTGGTCGTAGTGACTCCTCGGACTAGTGGGAGGCGGCCTTTGGAAGATGAGTCAGTGCCTGGTAATGGCCTCCGAATGTTAGAGGTTCACTGTAGCCACGTAGGTGTGTACAGTGGAAGGGTGAGGAGCCCTGTGGTGCTGTGCCTGCTTTCTTTAACTATGAAAAAGCAAGTGAGAATAACATAATATAGGCTCCTTGTTGCTCTTGGTATGAGTCAGGTTTTAATATATTTTATTGGTGGACCCAGCATGCATGCCGTCATCTTTCAGCCCACAAGTTTTTAACAACTGGCATTTATTGGTGTCTTTGACTGTTAAAGTCCTTCATGTTCCTAAATTTTTAACTAATGTTTTTGCACACATGGTGCCATGGTACTTATAAAAATGTTACTAATTGCTCTGAAAAGGTAACTTCACTTTGACCGAGACTAGGCTTTGCTTGTAAAAGGTCTGTATTTCTGATTTACTGTGCTGGTTGTCACAAATATATATGTTCTTGCCTGGTTCCAGTTATAATGGATACAAACTATTCAAGCTGTAAAATAAGATAAAAATAGGCTCCTAGTAAGTGAAAGTCTTCACTAGATTTTGTTTCTTGAAAGTCCTGTTCACCCAAGGAGAATGTTTATCAAGAAAGTCTTGGCAGTGGTGCTTGTATGAAGTGAAGGCAGAGAAATGGAGTGTGGCTCCTGTTTTCAATCACCTCCCATTTTTTGAGTGAGCCATTACTGGGGAATGGTGTCTAGAGCATTCAGTTGATGCATACGTACTATCTGTTTTATTTCTACATGGCTTTGGGCAGTGTACATCTGGCTCTGTTCTTATTGGGTCAGATTTCCAACAGAAAGAAACAGTGACCAGTTTCCCCAGGTCATTTAGAAAACTGCCTTTACAAAAAAGACAGGGTGACAGCAGAGTCACTCCTAGGAAGATCATAGAAGTGTCTCAAATTTACTTTTTAGAATTTTGTAGAAGTAGATTTGTGGGCTATAGTATAGAGCCTAAGTACAGAAACTATACCAGATAAAATAAAACTTTTCCTATAATATTTAATGTAACATTGTAAATTATGTTGTTGAAACTTAACGCCGAGAGAAATGAGTGTAGCACATACCTTCAAAGAGCAGCATCAGGCCATTAGCTGTCAGCAGCCCTCCTGCCCTCCATTGCCACATCAAGGAAAGAGTGCAAGCCCACAGCGTGTTCTGTAGTATGTGTTTTATGAACATTCCTGTTATGTATCTGTCTACTTGGTCAGATGTCTGGGGCTGACCCTTTTTAAGATGAATTCTGAGTTTACACTGCCATCTAATGGAAACAGTTTTAGGGGCAGCAAGAGTCGCTAGTGACTAAACTGCTTTGATTCCTTCATGAAAATACCTTGCGAGTTTTCATGGTGCCTCCCAGTCTCTCCTTCCCAGCTAGTGGGGGAAAGTGCAGATGGAGTCCGAATACTCATCTTGCTCTCTCTCTCACAGGCTTCTTGAGCTGTCCCTTAACTTGGAAGGCTCACCTCCTAACATCCTGTTACTCTGGACAAACGTGTAACTGTGTGCCCCATTGGCTAGCCTAACATAGTGTTCCTTCCTTCCTTTTGCTGTGAGGAGCATCAGGGGCATTTTAAGTCTTCATAGGTCTTTAGCAGAGCTTTTATATAAGCTCTAAGACTGGCTCTTTATTCAGCAGGTACCAGGCGAAACCATGACTAACGACATGTAACCTCTAAGTGTGCTTATTCCTCTGCCAAAATGAGAATCTCTAATTTACTTGCTACACTGGGGGTAAAGCACAATGGTACTTAAGAAAATAATCTTGAAAATATAAAAAACTAGATAGAAAGAAGAAAATTTAACAGCTACAAACATTTTTGAGCAGCTTTCCAGAATTACCATCCACTTTACTCCTCAAAATATTGCCAAGAGTAAGCTGTTGTGATCCTCAGGAGCAAATGGAATCTGGAGAGGTTTGCTGCTTTCCCAAGCTGTGCACACATGTTGAGGGATCTTGGGGCTTTCTGTGCTCTTCTGGGTACCTGATCCCTGCCTGTCCACTGTGAGTTCTGGTGTAAGTCAGCTGCATTTTCACATTTTCTAGATATACATGTAAAAGATCAGTGTATTTTAGCTTATTTTTTTAGAATATTAAATCAAAATGCTTTCAGCTGTATATAACAGAAAATGTCACCACCTCATTTGTTTTAAACAAAAAGGACATTTCTGTCCTCGTAATCTATAAAATTCAAAGGTGACACTCTTAGTCACATCACTAAGGTTTGCAGAACTCAAGTTTGCTCTTCTGATAAACCAGTTTCCTTCATAATTATAAAATGTTTTTTTACAATTCTTGGTTTTGAAACTTGGCGTAATGATGTTCAGGGGCAGAAAAATGGCTTGGTGGCTATTTCTTCTGAGTTCTCTTTAAAATTAAAGACCTTTTCCAGAAAGACTCCCATCAGTCTTTCTCAGACGTCACTGATCTGAGCAGGGCCATAGAATAAAGGCTAAGAGGAGAGCGACACATGCTTGGCTTGCAGAAGTCATTGTTTCCAGTGCAGATGCTAGTGCTTACATTCATGGTGTCTCCTAGGAGTGGCACCCCTGTGTACGTGAATGTAAGAAGGAAGGGAATGAATCTAAAGGCCATGGGTGTGGGTCCCGAAAGCCACCTTCAGGGAACATGTGAAATTGTACACATGGCTCAAATAGGGTTCAGTACCCAGTGGGCAGAGTACAGGCCTCCTATGGCAGTAACTAAGGAGGCCTCAAGATATCACATATTCCTCTCCTTCCATCCTGCCTTAGCCCAGAACCTGGCTTTTTAGAGCAAAATTATTGGGTCCTGTACCCAGCAGGTAGCCTTGGCTACCAACCCTTGTAGTTAACCCTTTGAAAATAATAGCATCAGAAGCCCCAAGAATGGCACATATGGCTGTTGTAAAGAAAGTGGAGTGCCACTCTCCCTTAGAAAAGCCCACATCACACTCTGTCGGATGCATTATACTCTTCTTGGTCCCTTCTCCTCTCTCAACCATGTGTCAGTCTGTGTTGAAGATGTCTTTTAAGAAACCCATCTCTGCTTCATAGTAGCTCATCCTGAAATTCTTTCCTGTGTTGAAGGCCAGGATCCAGTTTACCCGAGTTAAGGTCTTTAAAAATGTAAGGGACCTTCTCAGGCTGCTGCAGGTGGCTGTGTCTCAGTTCCTGTTGCCTCTGACATGACTGCATTAGGAGGGACAGATAAAGGGTTCCAATGACCTCAAATCCATTTTCAGGTTACTGGCATGAGTTCGAGGTTTCAAAAGAGGCAGGATTGGGGTAAGGGACAATAGATGTACTGATTAGCCCTGGCCAAGGTGTGCTCTGAATGGTTACTGTTTCAGTTTAGATTATGCAAGGTTGTTGGAAGAAGTTCTTGTCTGGTGAGTGGGTCAATCTGCTTCCTAGAAGGTGATTGCTTTTGCTCCAGGATGCAGCTTAGCTGTCATGGACAATAGTACTTGTCTGGGGGTGATTTCCTAGGTAACCCCAGATTTAGGGTAAGGATTTCTCTGTCTTCAGTTACCTTGTTGGCCTAAGTAACAAGTCAGTTCTTTTTCTCTGTGTGTCTGTTTTTTGTTTGTTTGTTTGTTTTGTTTTGTTTTTTTGAGATGAGGATTTCTCTGTGTGTCCTGGAACTTGCTCTGTAGACCTGGCTCAGAGATCCGCCTGCCTCTGCCTTCTGATTGCTGGGATTAAAGGCATGTGCCACGATGTCTGGCCTGCAAAACCAGTTTCTAAATGCCCGTTAAAGCCTACAATGTGATACAGTAGCTAACAGGAAAGGTAGTCTGTCACCATCTACCCACCCTATAACAGTGAGCCTATCAAGTGTTGATCATGGCTGGGAGAAGGAGGCAAAAGATGAAGCATTGGTCACGGTGAGGCTCCTTAGTGTGTGTGTGTGTGTGTGTGTGTGTGTGTGTGTGTGTGTGCGCGCGCGCGCGGTATATGTAATACTCAGATACTAAGACTCGGGACTTAAATGTAGAAACGCTGGAACTGTCTGTGTTTTCTTTTAGCATAGGAGTAGTTCTCATTGAATAAAATGTAAATATCTATAAAGTGATGTCCTGTTTATACCTTATAATTTGGCTTGGGCAGTTTATCAGACTGGGGAAGCATTTTTGATAAAGGGTTCTGCAAATAAGAAAAAAAATACACACAAGCGTGATGTGTACCAGAGAATATAATCTATTTGAGGCTCTGACACTTCTAGTGTGAGAACTAGAGTTGCAGAAATGAATCTTAAGAGATAAGCAGATTCAGTACAGGGAAACCCTTGAGTGCAGAGCTGAGAACTTGACTTCATCAGGAGAACAGGGAGGTGAGTCAGTAGCAAAGCTTGCCAATTTGCATGACTAGGGACAGGGTCCTGTCACAGTAGATACAGTGTGGACTTTTCCTGGGGAGCAACAAACGTCTCTTCTCCTTCGATAGGAAAATGACAGGGCAGTGTTCCCCTCAGATAGGACAATGACAGGTTAAAGAAATGATTCCATCTGCACTGGTTAATTTTAAATGTCAGCTTGCCACAACAATGTTTACACGGTAGGAAATCAGCTGTAATATAGAAAGTATATTCCATACTGTGTTCAAATATGTTCTTGATAGCTTATTGTATATAAACATTTTAGTTTATTGTGTAGTACTTGGTGATGCTAGTATCAGTATCAGTTGTAATGAATTTTAACTCTTTTTTTCTCTAGAAGTAAACTTCCTCAGAAGGAATTAGAAATGTTGTTCCATGGCATGAGTGCTGATTTTACAAGTGAGAATTTTTCAGCCGCCTGGTATCTCATAGAGAATCACTCCACCACCAGGTTAGTGGACTTCAGACCCTGAACTCTGAGGGGCTCCAGACAGTGGGCTTGTGCAATAACTGTCTTAAGTCTGGCTTTGTAGATGGTAACATAGCTGTAGGTTTGTGAGTTCTTTGGCTTTGATGAGTTCCTGACAGTTTCAGTTTATCTGTTTCCTTGTTTGTAAAATGTCATTCTTAGATTTTTATTCCTCACCCCACAGTTTGATGTTTCAATAAAATGGTATGGTCTTATTTGTTGCTTTATTACAAATGTTAAGCTAGTATACACGATAGCAGGTTTCATCATGCTGTTTCACACATGTATCTCATGTGCTTTGTCTCTTGATTCTTGTTTAAATTGTGAGTTGCCCACAGGCTTAAGGTAATTTGGTCATTAAGGACAGAGGACTGTGTATTGAGGGTGAGATGAGCATTGTGCTCAGTGTTCCAGGATACTTGCTTGAGTGAGTGGAGAAATCTACCTTTGAACAACTGCCCCTTTGAACTGCTAAGTGGGCCAGCTGAGTCTCCTGTCAGTGATAGATACTCAGAACCTCTATCGGTCCAAATCATATATATTATATCTACATTTGTACTTACTTCTTAGGGGCCTGACATACTTGGAATTATCATCTGAAGCTATAAGACTTGTTTTATATCTGTCAGGCATCACAATAAATAAAAGGTTTAAATCTAGATAAGAATTTGTAAGATTTTTGTTTTTATGTGGTTATTAATGTATGTGCTTCACAGAACCTTTAGCATTCCTGTTGCTTTACATTTAATGGAATCTTGTCAGGAATCTCAGACAGTTGATTTCTTTTAATTGATTTCAGTTTTGAACAGCTCAAGATGGCAGTCACCAACCTCAAAAGGCAGGCCAATAAGAAGAGTGAGGGCAGTCTGGCCTATGTGAAGGGTGGCCTCAGTACCTTCTTTGAAGCTCAAGATGCTCTCTCAGGTAAGGCAACCCTGAGAACCATCTGCTGGGACTTCCACTGTGGAAACCCGACACTGTGCTCCCTCATGTTTATGGGGTGTGACATTCAGTCTGTATTTATAAAAGTAGAGGTTTAAAACGTTCCATAAATATTTGTTGCAGACTAAGCTGGAATCTCTTTGAAGGCAAATACTGTAAATATTTGTCTCAAAGGGTCTGTTCACCCATCTTACATGTGAAACAGGAGACTCCTATACTTCTCCATGATGCTCAGTCTTTGGGGCTGATAAGAAATTGAATCCCAATGGGCAAAATTCTAGAATTCTTAAAATCCTCTTACAGACATCACATCTTATTCATGTGCCTAATTCTAAAAATGTTCCCCATTATGTGTTTCATTTGTGAAGGACTGATGATAATGTGGCATTGTTTTTAGCCATTACCCCAGAGGCCCCCAACATACACAATCAACTGCCTGCTCTCTGACATCATTATTACAAGAAAGGAAAATTATACTATCAAGAGCTTTAGATATTGCACTGAAAGACACTGAGTAGGATTCTAAAAACTGCCGTTAGTTTTTTTGTATATAATGAGTTCATTTGTATATAGTGAGAATACAATATGTATTTTTATATATTATTAGTATATGTAAATAAACATGAATAAAATTTACCGTAATTGCTCTTGAAAATGAAGGTCCCTATAACTAATTACTTATATGCTATTAATAATTTATCTGTTCATTTATTTAGTTGTGTGTGTGTGTGTGTGTGTACACCATATCACTTGTCCAGAGATCAGAGAACAACTTGTGGAAGTCAATTCTTCTTCCATCATATTGTGCCTAGGGACGAAACCCAGGTTGTGAAGTTTGGTGGCAAGCACTTGTGCCCACTGAGCCATTTTACCCATCTTTCTTTACTGTATATTAAAAGCCTGCACCTTCTTCAGAAAGACAGATTTCTAATACTTAACATGTATTAAGAACTCATTGTTTTTTTTTTTTTTTTTTTTTTTGTGGTTTTTCGAGACAGGGTTTCTCTTGTGTAGCTTTGTGCCTTTCCTGGAACTCACTTGGTAGCCCAGGCTGGCCTCGAACTCACAGAGATCCACCTGG